CCTGGGCTTGTCCTAAGTTTTCTTTAGCCATCTCCCAAGCCAATTGTAAACTATTTCTCATTTCCACTATTTGTTGAAGGGCACCCTTGGAATGATCTTCCCCTTCTTCCCACCTTTCCCTTATTAAATCAAGGACCCCCCGGGTCTTCTGCCATATAGTAACTCAAAAGGGGAGAACCCAGTGGAGGCTTGGGGAGCCTCTCTGATGGCAAACATCAGGGGGGCTAGAAAGGTATGCCACATCTTGGGTTTTTCCATTGACAATTTCCTGAGCATGCCTTTCAGTGTCCTATTAAACCTTTCCACGAGCCCGTTGGCTTGAGGATGATAGACAGATGTTCTTAAAGGCTTAACCCCCAACAGGTTCCACATCTGTTTGAATGTCAGGCTCATAAAATTAGAGCCTTGGTCGGTTAGCACCTCTTTTGGAAAGCCCACTCTGGAGAACATCTCTAATAACTCCTTAGCCAATACTTTGGCCGTTGTAGACCTTAGGGGCACTGCCTCTGGGTACCGGGTGGCATAATCGATGACTACCAGTATGTACTGGTGTCCCCCCGCTGATTTAGTTAGCGGCCCCACAATGTCTATTCATTATTTTGGGGACCTTGATGAATCACAAATCAAAACAAATCGACATTTTCCTGATTCATGTCCATCTCTAGTACAGATTCTTGTTTGTTTGGACCTCCCACTTTGGCACTATGTGGTGCATACTAGTAAACTGGACTAGAGATTCACCACCACCACCACCACCCCAGTTTACTCGGGGTATGTAACAAACCCAGATTGAGCCAGGGATAGTGAAGATGTCAGTTTCCATGCCAACTTCAAGGTGATGATGTTAATATACAATATCTTTAGGACCTCGGTCTCATGGATCACAGGTCCAGATCAGAGTAGGGATCCATCCAACCCCTCCAGAGGCACTGGGGTCTCCTTGGGTCAACAGGGAATCTGGAACCTCTTTGCAAATGGAATGTCCATAAAACTAGATGACACCCCAGAGTCAATCATGGCCTTCCTTCCTGTCGCAGTACCAACTGGACAGTCAGCAGTGTCAACTGGACAATCAGCATGATGTGAGGGAGCCACACTCTACCCTAGTAGGCCTCCCCTTACATATGCTGGGGACATTTGTTTCCCGCCAGAGAGGTCTTGGCAGGGCAGGCAGCTACATAGTGTCCCCACAGTACAAACAAAGACCCAGATCTCAGCAGCGCATCTTCTTCATGGGGTCAAGCAACAGTGGGACTCATCCACTTCCATGGGCTCTGGAGGCAGGAGGCTACTGGGTGGGATAACTCTGGGAGGAGGACACGCCCTCTCAGCTCAGGAATTACAGCACTCACATTCCCTTTCAGTTAACTGGATATCAATATTAATACACAGAGAGATGAAGTTGGTCAGGGCGGCTGGTGAATCAACCTGAGTTAAGTCATTCTTGATAGCCCTATTCCGGCCCAGCCGAAAGTGGAACTGCTGCACCGCCTCATTCCATTCCAAGGCAACTCTCCAGTGGGGGTGGGGGTGAGGGCTCAGGAGCAGCAAGGCACAGCATGACCAAAGACCTTTGTTGCTGAAGTTCTAGGAGGGAGAACCGCTCCTTAAATAGGCCTTCTCTCCAGGTTTCCAGGTGAGCATCATGAGCGGCCGAGCCTGCAAACACCAGGCTAGTCCTGGATCAGGCTGGCCCTTATCTTGCAGTTGCCAGGGCGGTGTGGGCCAGATCCTGACACTATGTTTCTGCACTGTTACACTCCCGCTGATGCCTAACACAGTCCCGGCACTCATTTTTTGACATTTGCTTATTTCCTTTGATTTGCCAAGTAGAAGTAGTTTATGATTCCATGAAACCATGCAGAAAACTAGAAGACAACACGCGACTAATAGAAATTAATTCTGGTTCAATTGTTTCCATGTGCAAAAGGTAAATAGAGCCCCAGAAATTCAATGCAGAGGAATATTTGGACAGAGATCAGCCCAGAGATGGAAGCTGTTCAACCAGGTAGTTGATTAAGTATATGGAGGTTGATAAAAGAATTTGACAGCCAGTTAGAGTTGTGTCCATGTTGCAGGAAGAATATGGATATATAACACATATAGATGATATTACAGTCTTGGCACTTGAGCTTTGTGGAGCTACAAAGAGCTGTAGACTCAGTATGAAGTCATTTTCCCTGTGTTGCTGTGGTATTTGGTAGTGACAGAGTAAGGTCTCTACACCACAATCTAATCCGTATGTGTTATGTCTCATTGTGGCCAGAATCCTATTGGTGACTTATGTATGGATAAGGAAAGTCATGTCAGTTACAGTGGCAAACTGATACTCATAAATGAAGTAATGGTTGAGACTGGACATGCACCTGAAGGAGAAGAGAGAGCATGTGGAGCATAGAAATGAATATTTGGGATTGAGAGCAGTTCTAGAAAGTTTGTATTCAACAGAGGCCAAACAGAGGAATTATAACAGATAAACATTTTGTGACCATGTACTCTAATAGCCTGAAAGAAAAAAGCTGTCTTTGTTGTAGTTGCTTTCAGTAATTATTTTATGTATGCGTTCCTACACTTGCTCAGTGTTATTTTAAAATTTACCACTTAGAGCTATAAAAGAGTAACTGTTCTGTTATTCCACTAGAACCACTTTAGTGTTTCTCCTGCTTTCAAAAGCAACAAAGTTTTATGGTTTTAGTAGTAAGATTCACTCTGTTCTGTTTTGCGACCCCCAGCAGGTGACCTGGGGCAAGTCATCCCCAAGACATGCAGCACTTTGTTAATGTGTGAAAAATTGTTGCTATGATATATATACAGTATATATATATCTGTCCATTGCCGATAGTTTCTGACTTGTGTTTTTTTTTTTATTAATTGTATGTTTTATGGTCATTTTGATCATCATCACTATCCTGGGATCTGCAGAGAGGTTCTTCTGAAAGGTATAAAATGGCCTTTAGGTTGCCAGCAGAAGTGGCAGCAGTACACTTGGGAATGATATAGGCATATTCTGTGCCAGAAATATCAGTACTCCTAAATATGAAATTAAAAAAGTGTACAAATAACAGATCCTTAAAATATCTCATAGAAGTACTTAAAGAAGATGAAGAGAGAAGAAATGTTAATTGCACCACAAAACAAAATGGGAAAGTATGCAAAATATAAATGCAGAAGAAGTTGTGTCTAAGTGGCAGGGTACATGATTTGCATATGTAAGCCCCAGATACTGTCTCTGACATCCGAAATCAAGAGAATGAGACAGCAAGTGATGAGAAATGATTGCCAGAGAGTGAAGACAAATATTCAGCGAGACAGACAAATATGCAACTCTAATATAAGGCAGCTTCAGTCTATCCTAAACATTACACAGTGCTGTGAGAATTGGCGGGGTAAAGGAACAATCAGGGGCAGGCGCTGAACAATAGGTAAAGAAGGTTGTGTAGCCTGAGACAAAGGACAAGATGTCAGCCCAGTCCCACGCCATATCCAGAAGCTGATCAGACTGGCAGCTGAATCTCATTTCCATACTGCTGACAGAAACACATCTTCAGATACACCAAACGGCAGCAGGTTAGCCTGGGGTCATACAGTAGCACCCACTGTATGCACTGCTCTCTCCTTCAGGGTCTTGCGAACCCATCAACATTTTTAGCCTAACTCAGACTCAGGCTAGGGCTGTTCCTGGCAGGTGGGTATTCATACATGAGGCCGTACTTGGCTTAAAGATTTTCATATCAAAGAAAAATGGTGTGTGTTTTTTTAAATTAGAAAGCAGAAGTTTTCTTTCTTCCTTATTCCACAGGCACTATTTATTTAATGGAATAAATTGAATCAGTGAGGGAAAAAATGGAGAATCCTAATTTGTACAGCCTGAGGATTCAGGGCAGGATCCTTGGAGGGATGAGAGATGAATCTTGGATTCTTGCCATTTGTGGTCCTTCAAAACAGCTTGTGTGTGTGTGTGTGTGTGAGTGAGTGAGTGTGTGTGTGTGTGTGTGAGTGAGTGAGTGAGTGAGTGAGTGAGTGAGTGAGAGAGAGAGAGAGAGAGAGAGAGACTAAGTAAGGGAAATAGTGAATTCCTACCTAGAACAAGACAGTATTTTAGCCTGCTTAATAGAGGTGGTAAAAGACCTTTAGGTACCCAGTGTGGTGTGGTGTAACGGACTGGATCTCAGGAGACCTGGGTTCGATTCCACGATCCTGCCATGGAAACTCACAGGAGATGATTGATGGACCTGAGATGGACCTAGTTAAATCACTCAAATACCTCACTTATCTTGAAAATCCTATTGGGGTCGGTATAAGTTAGTTTTGGCTTAACAACACATAACAACAACAATAAGGTATTTTTATTTGCAAGATATCATTCTGTGGACTGAAAGCAAAAAGTAGGAACTAAGCAGAATCTTTCTAACTTAGAGTATCTGAACACTGTCTTAAAACTTTAGATTGCAAGAAATGCATCCACAGACATTCCCTAGATTGAGTTTAAAGATCAGTTACTCAATGGATCAATTTGCGGAGATAAGAAAGTTTGGTTTATCTCTCTGCATGGCGCCAAATGCTTTGTCTAGCACACCCTTTGAATTTCTTTTGGAAAAAGACTTCAATCCTCATTGCTAAGGACACATAGTCCCTTTCTGGACTGAGGTATTATTTTTAGTAGGAGCAAGTCACTTCTCTCCTGAATGCTAATGGCAGTTAAATCATTACTCTTCAGTTAAACTGAGCTTGCTGAGAAAACAGGTATTTAAGATGGGATAAGAATCAGCCCATAAACTTTAATGGAGAAGGAAGATAAATCTTCTAATGAGTTGAAAGAAAGAAAATGAGAAAATCAATGTCGACATTTTTCAGATTTGCATTTCAAATGCTTGTAATTGTACCAGCGAAGTGTGCATGTGTAGAAGATAATTATAATGAAAGGGTTTGTGAGGAAGGTGCCAAAGAGAGCAAACAAGGAAGATTTTAAGTTTGGTGACTTTTTTCTCTTTCTTCCTCAGGTAATCAGCTCGGATACAGGATCCACAATTATCTTCTGGCTAATTGAAACTGGGCAGAAAATCAAAGAGTTTAGCCGTTGCCATGGCAATGCTGAGATCAGCACTATGGCTCTCGATGGGACAGAGACCAGGCTGTTCACCGGTGGCATGGATGGAACTGTAAAGGTGTGTGCGGTGCGAGGGGTGGAGTTACTTGAAAAAAAAATAGAGGTGCAGTGTTACCACATTTTTGGGTACACTCAGAGCTCAGAAGCATTACCTATTTTGACAGGGTCTCAAGAGTCCTCTAGGTTGTATAACATCCATGGAGACATTCCACTGACCACAGACAAGTTCCCACCGTCCTACATATTTTTTGCTGAGCCAGAGAATGGAAAGGGTAGAGTTTGGGGGGAGTTGGGGTGCCAAGTAGTTGCTTCACCATTAACTACAGTCCCTCTGCTACATTAAATTGGCCAATGAAAAGGATGGGGGAGCCTATTTCCTATTAGATCCCATCAGCTCTACCATAACATTTTAATGGTTAAGGATCACAGGATACGTAGAGTGATCTACCTTGGGTCTCTCTGATGAGAAATATGCAATAAGTAAGTCATGGTGCAATTATATAATGAGAGAAATGAGAATTCACTCACATTCATATGTTGTGAAGTCACACCAGGGGATCTGGTTCTCTTTGATTTAAGTGGCCACCCAGAGAAAGGAGTAAAAGTCCTCCAATTGCAGTTCTATTGAAGTGCCTGCAGGAGGCACAGTTCAAAGAAATGGCTTTAAGGCGGCTTTCCCTGCCTCCATGACTGTAGTTCCTCATCTTATTTTGCTGACCTAGTTGTTAAACTGAACAAACAGACAGACAAACGGGTGCTCTGTCCACCCAAGAGAAGCTGTTAAAAAATCAGTGTCTTAGGAGAGAGGCTTTGCAGAGAGAGGTGAATGCCAGTGCTGCTTGTGTGCGCACTATCCTGAGGCAAGAGGAAAGGAGAAAGGTGCATTGCCTAAACACTACTTTGTATGTGCATGCTTGGTTGGTCTTTCTTTTCGCATCAGTTCAAAGTGATCACACACTTTGAACTGAAGAAAAAAGGCTTGAATTTTTAAAAAGTAAAAGGGTCTCTAGCCAACACTTTGAACTACCGATTGAGGATGTGGGACTCCAAGCTGATTGACATTTCCAAGTATGTCATGTGATCGATGGGAAAAAATGAGGATCAGCCCACCCCAAACCTGTAGTATATCCCACACTTTCCCCCCGTCTCATCAGGCTCTAAAAATAAACATATAATATAACAGCATCTTGTGTGGTGATAGTTTCTGCCATATGTAATAGGCACACCTTCGCCTTAGTTATATTTTTCTATTTTCAATATTATGTTTGAAATTATAAGGGAAATCCCTATTTGCTGTTGCTTGAAAATTGATTTTTCTAATTTAAATCACAGGTGTGGGATTTCAATGGCCACTGCCACCATAAACTCAATGCCGGAAGAGACCGAACAGTTGAAATTTCCCAAATCTTAGTACTAAGTTGGACCATATTAGTCCTAGGCTGGGACAGGTACTGTACATGCTTAGCCTACATTGGAGAAAAGTGTACAAATTGTAGAAGTGTACTTTTTATGTTGCTTTCCTCTTCTGCAGATAAAATCAGCCAATGCTTATCTTTCTGGACTGTCAGGGTAATTCAAGAGCTGTTTGATCACCAGATCCAAGAAAAGATTTAGCACTCCCTGTGTGTCAGGCGAGAAAGGATGGACCACTCAAGGATGTAGCAGGGCAGCAAATGCTCTCATCTGTCTTGATCAGGGACTCCATTTCAGATTTCAACTGTGAGGATAACAAGTCTCACCAGGAGCTTTGTAAAAGAAATGCTGCTGGATATATTCAAGATTAAGAGAACAAGTGGAAGGTGGAAGAATAGAGCCTTAGATCTATCCAAGGCTGTTCCTAGCTCTAGTTGGCATAAGTAATAAGGGAGCTGATTTTTATTGTTGCAGCTGCTACAATTGCCAGGGGTGGGGACGTGAGTCTGACTTAGACTTGGACTTGGTACCAAAGTTTCAGACTCAGACTTGGGACTCGTATCTAAAGACTTGTCAACCTTCCTGCTATTTGCCCCCTCCACAGCTTTCTAAAAGAAAGTACTGGTCTAAAATTTCCCCCATACTGAGGACATAGATGTGGAGGAGGAGAATTATAGACACTGTCACTCACTCTTTCTAATAGATCCATCCAGTCTCCCTTCCCAGTACACCACCACCACCAAGCTTCTCTTCTCCATGTTTTACCTAGAACTCTAATCCAGTGGTCCCCAACGTTGGACCTCCAGATGTTCTTGTCTTGGACTTCAACCCCCAGAGATCCTGACCAGCAGTGGTGGTGGTAAAGGCTTTTGGGAGTTGTAGTCCAAAAACATCTGGATGCCGAAGGTTGGGGACCACTACTCTAAACCATTCTGAGCCTCTTCAACCATATTTGAGGGCAATCAATGAGAGGCAAAGCCACTTATATGAAACAGTAACACAGTGTTCATTCTGTGCAGTGATGAACAAAGGACGTGGATAATACATGAAGCAATAAATAGCTTGTGACAACATCCTTCTGTTGCAGGGGCTGCAAAACTGTGATGTATGTATTCTATGGGACAAAATTCTACAGCCACCTGCTTCTTTGTGGTCATAATAAAAAGCTAAAGGTAGTTCATTCCTAGCTATGGATTTTACATGTTTCTCTAAAAACTTTAGAAAAAGCCAACAAAGAGGAAAACAGGCAAAATGAATGGAACTCCCTTTGTTCTAGTAGTTTGATAGAAAAGAGAGTGAGAGAAGCCCAGTCAATTTCCTTGAAATTCTGTAAGTGAAGTGAAAAGGTCAGATCTTCAGCTTTGGATTAGAGATGGGCACAGACCTCGGTTTGGAGGTTGATGCTGGTTTGTATGCATGGCACCACAGGCGCCATGTATTCCTTTCCCTAATCAATTATTCACTCACCAGTCAAAGTGTGCTGGGTTTGCCAGTCCTGCTTCCTTGTCTGACTGGGTGATCAGGAAATGGGGTGGTGTAGGGAAGCCCATGCTCTTGCCAGACACTGGTCAAACAGCTGAAGAGGAGGAGGGCAGCAGCGCACACCAGCTGGTGAGTTGGGGATCCATCCAGGGAATTGAAGGAAGCCGCATGTATGAACCTCTGAACTGAGGTTTGTGCCCATCCCTACTTTGGATGTATTCTTTGCATCTGTCTGAACAGTTGTCTAGTCTTCCTGTGCTTGTTCTATATGCTTGATCTGCTTCTCAAAGGGAAAGGACACTAGTTTTGCACAGATCTGTTTTGCGCAAATTATAGATTGCAACAATGATTTCTTAAAAAGCAATTTCCTGCTCTTAGTTGAGCCAAGAAATTTAGGGCATTAGCAACAGCTGAAATTAATGCAGAGGAGGAATTTAATTAGGATTCTTCAAGCCCCTGTTCATGGAATTGTCAAATGTTAGTCAAGATGGAAAGACACAATCTATTCTTGAAGTGATCTTTCAGAAAGCACAGTTGCTTCTAAGGTCCCCGAATCAAAGATCTTGTAATATGTAAATTAACTAGTATGCTTTGTAACCAACCCATGAAGCCCCATTTACAAAGGGGATGTCCTTTTTGGGCAGTCACCAGATGAAGGTCTAACAAATACACTAACCAAGACTCCATGAAGGGTTGACCTGTCATGAATCTCACTATACGGAGATAATTTTTGCATGAGGAGCATGGAAGACTTATTTTTTAGGGGGCAAAAACTGCCAAAACTCCTTAGTCAGAAGGTGGATTCTAGGAATAGTCCTAAACAGTTCTGTTTAGTGAATACTTTCCAAAGAAAATATATATACTTACAATGACAATAAATTATATTATTAAAGAATAACCCTTATGAACCTTCCCTCAGTCATGTGTGAATGATATTGTAATCTCTGTAGCATGGATGGATTTTTTTTTCAAGGTCTGCTACTTTGTGTTTCCTTGCTTGCTGTTGGAGGTAAAGAAGGGCATTAAAATTGTTAGGGATGCTGACAGGAAGAGGGGAAGATGTATATTTTTGACAGCAAGATGTTCTGCAGATGCTATGCTAAGGAAAAAAAATATGGCAGAAATTAATTAGAAACCCTTCTGTTCATAAATCTGAAATCTCAGACAACACATACAAGCTGCTTCCTTTACGGAGGTAATATCTGGTGCTGTTCTTCACTGTCAAATTATGCTGAAGAGCTGTAAATTAGGAGGGGATAAATTGCTTTTAGTGCCCGTTTCTTTTCCTTTAAACACTAAAGAATTTTTTTTTGAGTGGTCCAAAAGTACGTATGTGCCTGTATACATGCGCAGAAGTGGAACCAAGGTCTGTTTATTTATTTTGCTATTATATTGGTATCTTAACGTACCCTTCTTCCCATGGGACTCAAGGCTACTAACAAGAAAATCAAATAAAACATGTAGAAGTAAACCATAAAACAAATCAATTGAAACATAAGACAAATTGAAAGCAGTTAAAGTACATCAATAAAGGAAGAAAAACACAACCACCCAGTTAAAAGCCTTTTTTTTTACAGCAATGCAGTTTAATTGCTAAAGGCATCCCTGAATAAAAAAAGGCTTTGCATTCTAGTCTACATCAGTCAGGTGTTCCTCAAATGGAGGAGCAGCCCTCTAGAAAGACCTTGTTTTGGTCCCTACTAAATGTGATTCAGAGGGCACATGGACTAAGAGGAGGGGGCTCCTTGAAGATCTTAAAGCCCAACCAGTTACAGTGGGGTCTTGACTTGAGAACTTAATCTGTATTGGAAGGCGGTTCTCAAGTCAAAAAGTTCTCAGGTCAAATCTGCATTTCCCATAGGAATGCATTGAAAACCATTTGATCCGTATCTGCTCTTTTCCGTCCATAGAAACTAATGGGAAGCTGCTATTCCGCCTTCGACCACTAGAGGGGGCTATTTTGTTTCTTTTTTTCTTAGGTCAAGAAAGGTTCAGGGAAGGCAGGGAAAATACAGTCCAGGCAGTACAGTACCAGGCAGTCCGAAGACTGTCTCCCAATCCGCTCTCTAAACGCTGGGAGGAGTGAGGAAGCAGACAGGCACCCTTTTCACTGGCCAACAGTTAACTGAAAGTTCACATTTTGCACTTTCCCTGCCTCCCACGTGGGTTTTTTTCAGTTCTTAACTCAAATCTAAGTATGTAAGTTAAGTCAATATTTTCCTATGAGAGTGGTTCTTAAGTCAAAATGTTCTTAACTCGAGCCGTTCTTAAGTCAAGACCCCACTGTATGTTTCCACACATCTTCCTTCTCACTTCTCTGAGAACAGAGATTTACACCTCATCAAATAAAGAGGACATACAACATTATAATAAAAACAGAAAAAAGAAGATACTGATTTGGATAAAATTGCAGCCGTTAGCCAGAATCCTATTAGTGATGTATGCATGTGTGAGAGTGAAATTCCATCAGTCACAGTGATGAATTGCCACTAATCAATCTGATGGCATGTGTCACGTGAGCAGTCATGCTCCCAAGAATGCAACCAGCACCCCATTAATTAGTGGCAATTCACCACTGTGACTGACATGTTTTCATGGACTTGCAGGTAAATTCCTAACAAGATTCTAGCCATTAATTTATATGTATACATAAAAATTAGAAATAGTTCAGATGTTTCAAATATAAATTGCAATACATCTCACCAAAGCAGGATAGGCAGTGGCCAGCTGACCGGTGTGTCTGCTAAGCCACCTGTCCAGGTGCTTATTGTGGATGGAGGGCTTCAACATCCCTGACCTCCTTCTTTGAATCAAACTTGAACTAGAGAGCACCTGTACCGGAGGACTCCTTATAAAAGAGGACTACCCCTTAAAATGAAGGATTGCCTTCTAAGAAATGCTTGCTAAAAATATGCTTCAGGAAGCACAGGCTGTAGGGCAGGTGGCTTCACCTGGCTGAGTGGTGAATGCACACACCTGCAAGTACACGGATACCCACAAAAGCAGTTCAGCCTGTCTTTCTGCTGGTGCTATTCACAGAACCAAAGCAATGAACCAATGTAGTTCGCAATGCTAAATCTTCCTCAGATTATTTTAAGAAGTCCAAGGAGTCCCTGGCAGGGCTGCCATATTGTTGCCTGATGTGAAGAAACAAATGATGCACTGCAAGCACCCACATCAATATGCCCTGGAGCCAAAGCCAGCCAAGTTATTCAAGAACATGAGGCAGAATCCCACAAGAACATCTACTCTCCTCTGGCAGTCAAAGAACAATTTAAATGATTTGCTGCCCTTTGGTCGCACCAAATATCTGTTGCCTGAGGAAGCGGTCCCTCTTTGCCAAATGGCAGGGCTGGCTCTGGGTACTTCATTGGCTGTCAGAAGATAAATGTGTCACTTATGTTTCTACATGCCCCCTTTTCATGCAATAATTGGCCTTGCCTTCAATAAACTGGATGCGCGGAACTGCTATCATTAATTATTATAGGTTATTACTTCTAATCGGCCCAGGCAGTTATCTAACAATAGGGGCCATGCTGTTAGATAAGATTCT